TCTCAAAGGAAGATATATGAATGGCCAACAGACACATGAAAAAATGCTCAACATCACTCAGCATTCAGGAAACGAAAATCAAAACCACTTTGAGATACCATCTCATTCTAGTTAGGTTGGCTAATATCCAGAAGACTGAGGACAGTAAATGCTGACAAGGATGTGAAGAAAAGACAACCATCCTACACTGTTGGTGGGACTGCAAAATGGTGCAGGCTTTATGAAAATAGTATGGAGGTTCCTCAAACAATCACAGATAGATCTACCATATGACCCAGCTATCCCACTGCTGGTTATGTACCCGAAGGAATGTAAATCATTGTGTTGAAGGGATACCTGTATTACCATGTTTATTGCTGTGCTATTTACAATAGCCAAGAGTTGGAACCAGTCTAAATGCCCACCATTGGATGAGTGGATAAGGAAAGAAACAGCACATGTTCTCACTTATATGTAGGAGCTAATAAAAATAAATAAATATACAAGCAAATAAACGGGGGATAAAAAGATACAACAATCACAATAATTCCTTGAACTTGTTGAGATAAGTGAACAGATATGATGTTGATGGGGGAGGGTAAAGAAGGAGGGGGGAAAGAGAGGAATTGGTAAAGGGATACAAAAATGAACTATATTGTATATTGATGACTTAAAAAATAAAAACGTAAATCTAAAGCCAATATTACAAGTTATTAAGATTTGTTTGTTTTGGATAATAAACACATAATGTTTATTATATTATGTACCATGCATTGACCAGTGTCTAAGTAGTTTTGAATTTGACTTTGATACTTTAAGATAGACAGACACAGCTATTCTGGTTCCTAGCCCCCAGCATGCTTTATTACCTCACATTGGGCTGCATCACATGACTTCCCTGTCTCTGGTAGCAATTGATTTTTTAAAAAATTTGGGTTCCATGATAAAAAAAGTTGGATTTAAAAAAATTAATTTTAATTTTTTAGATTTTAAAAATTTAATTTTTAATTTTTTTATTGTATGTTTCAATTTATTTATTTATTTATTTTTAATTTTTTAAAATTTTAACTTATCAATATACAATGTAGTTGATTTTCATGTCTCTTTACCCATTCCTCTTTCCCTTCTCCCTCTCCACCCTCCCCCCATCTACATCATATGTGTTCAGTTGTCCTAACAAGTTCAAGGAATTGTGATTGTTGTGTTTTCTTCCTGCCCCCTATCATTTACTTGTTTGTATATTTATTTCTTTATTTATTTTTAACTCCCACAAATAAGTGAGGACATGTGGTATTTCTCTTTCTGTGTCTGACTTGTTTCATTTAATATAATTTTCTCTAAGTCCATCCACATTGCTGCAAATGGTAGTATTTCATTCTTTTTTATAGCAGAGTAGTATTCCATTGTGTAGATATACCACAGTTTCCTTACCCACTCATCTCATGATGGACATTTAGGCTAGTTCCAACTCTTGGCTATTGTAAATCACACAGCAATAAACATGGGAGTACAGGTATCTCTTCAACATGATGATTTCCATTCTGCTGGGTATATTCCTAGTAGTACAATAGCTGGGTCATATGGTAGAGCTATGTATAATTGTTTGAGGAACCTCTATACCATTTTTTCCATAAATGCTGAACCATTTTGCAGTCCCACAAACAGTGTAGGAGAGTTCCTTTTTCTCTGCAACCTTGTCAGCATTTATCATTCTCAGTCTTCTGGATATTAGCCATCCTGACTGTAGTGAGATGGTATCTCAAAATGGTTTTGATTTGCATTTCCCAGATGCTGAGTGATGTTAAGCATTTTTTCATGTATCTGTCGGCCATTCATATATCTTCCTTTGAGAAATGCCTATTCAGCTCCTTTGCCCATTTTTTAATTGGGTTATTTGTTTTTTTGCTGTAAAGTTGTTTGAGTTCCTTGTATATTCTGGATATTTATCCTTTGTCAGATGTATATTTTGCAAACATTTTCTCCCACTCTGTTGGTTATCTTTTCACTCTGTTAATTGTTTCTTTTGCTGTACAGAAGCTTTTTAGTTTGATATAATCTCATTTGTTTATTTTTCCTTTTGTTGCCTGTGCTTTTGGGGTTGTATTCATGAAGTCTGTACCCAATCCTACTTCCTGGAGTGTTACACCTATGTTTTCTTTAAGGAGTTTTATTGTTTCAGGATGTACATTTAATTCTTTAATCCATTTTGAGTTGATTTTCGTATATGGTGAGAGGTATGGGTCTAGTTTCATTCTCTTACATATGAATATCCAGTCTTGCCAGAACCATTTGCTGAAGAGGCAGTCTCTTCCCCAGTTTGTAGACTTTGTACCTTTGTCATAAATTAGATAGATGTAGGTTTATGGGTTATTTTCTGGATTCTCTATTCTATTCCATTAATTGGTGTGCCTGTTTTTATGTCAGTACCATGCTGTTTTGGTTATTATAGCCTTGTAGTATAGTTTAAAGTCAGGTAGTGTTATGCCTCCAGCTTTATTTATTTTGCTCAAGATTGCTTTGGCTATTCATGGTCTTTTGTTATTCCATGTAAATGTCAGGATAGTTTTTTCCATTTTTGAGAAAAATATCATTAGAATTTTGATGGGGATTGCATTGAATCTGTAGATCAGTTTGGGTAATATGGACATTTTCAGTACATTAATTCTTCCAGTCCAAGAACATGGGATATCTTTCCATCTTCTTGTGTCCTCTTTAATTTCTCTCAACAGTGATTTGTAGTTCTCTTTGTAGAGATTTTTCACATCCTTGGTTAACTTTATTCCTAAGTATTTTATTTAATTTTTTTTGGCTACTGTAAATGGGCTAGCTTTCTTGATTTCTTTTTCTGCATGTTCATTGTTGGAGTAGAGAGATGCTATTGATTTTTGTGTGTTGATTTTGTATCCTTCAACTTTGCTGAAATCACTTATAAACTCTAAGAATTTTTTTGCAGAGGCTTTAGGCTGTTTCATATATAGAATCATGTCATCTGCAAAGAGGGACAGTTTGACGTCATCTTTTCCAGTCTGTATGCCCTTTATTTCCTTCTCTTCTCTGATTGCTCTGGCTATTACTTCCAACACTATGTTGAATAGGAGTGGTGAGAGTGATCATCTTTGTCTAATTCCTGTCCTTAAGGGAATTTTTAAAAATTTCTTTAGTTTTTTTTTTTTATTGTTTTGTGACTTAGATTTAAGTAATGCTTGCAGTAGAATGTAAAAGCTCAGGTTTCAGAGTCAGACAAATGGATATTTGGTTACTACCTCTGTCACTTACTATCTCTGTAACCTTGGGCAAGTTACTTAGATCTTCTAGTCTTCAGTTCTTTCACAGACGATGTAGTAATATTCATTTTCTATCTCAGAGTTGTTTAGGGAATGGTTTAGATAACACATAGTAAGTACTCAATAAATGTTTACCATTTATTATTATTATTATAACTACTTAGTGTATAACAAGATGTGCTCTTTTAAAAATGTTCATCAGTTTATTAGATTAATTTAAATCTGATAGATTCTTATATTTATTTTCTTATAACTTTATTGTTACCCTTATTGTAAGCTTCTATAATGCCTTACTATGTTTATGCAATAGTCAATTTAGTACAAAACTAATTAGTGAATTTGTTATCACCCAAAAAGTGGTTGAAAAGAAATCAAAGTGAGTTGATTAAATTTTTTTATTTTCAACCAGCTGTGTTTGCTGAAAATATGCCTAGCAAAAGATACATGGAAGTGGATTTATGATGGCAAGCATAGATTGTTTTCTTCCTTTTTTGTGCAATTCAACCACACTCTCACCTCCTGAGCTAAAGGAGTTTCAATTCTTCTTACCATATCTCTAGACGACATTTTGTAAAAGAAGTATTTAGGGCAGATTCTTGGACACTGTTTTATATACTCCTTTCCAGGTGCTCCATTTAAAGATTCACAAACTTGTTCTTGAGCTTAATTCTTAATCTTTTATTGTTAAAATAATGTGGGAAGGCTATAAAATAAAGGAGGTTAGTGGGAAGAATTGCAAGTTTATTAATGTCATATCAAAGAGTATTAAACTTTTTTCAAATCAAGTAGACTGACAACACTTAAAAGATATAAATATTAAAGGATAAAGGTGACAGTTAATTCCATAACTATTACTTTAATATCTATGAAAATTTTACAGCCCCCAGATTTATTTGTCTTTTCTTTCTTTCTTCTAATTCCTTTTTTTTTCCCTGAGGCAGTCACTTTGGAGTTTTCTCCACATGACCTCTGAACATGAATCTATATAAAAATTTGAATGTTATCAAAGGGATTCAATTGTGGATTTTTAATGGGACCTAATTTCCTTAAATAATAAAGGAGTTTAGTGCACACTGCAGTAGCAAACGGCAGCACCATTTGGGTTAGTTTTCTTATTAAAAGGTTTCCTGTATATTGGAGAGTGAGAAGGTACCAGTCACCAGCAACAGGATACCTGGAGGTGGTTGGGAGCGGAGGTGAAACAGGGTAAACAGGCTGTGCTTGAATTTAACTAATGAAACTGTTTCTATGACTCTAGTTTGTGTTTCATACAATTTCCTCAATGTCACCTTTTCTTAGTCCTGTAAAACTTGGCCTCTGTCACTCCTTTACCCATCTCCCCTGCTCAGAAGCAATTATATACAACCAGTTAGAAGAGAAAGTATTTATAAGAAACAAAAGTAACATTTAATCAAAATAGATAGATGGTTCTATGTATTGGATTTTTTTGATGAACTAGTTCTATGTGATTTTTTAAAATTTAAAGTAATAGCCAAAACTTGGGAATTCACAAAATAACCACAATAAACACAATCCTGTACAAAATTCTACATCAAAAAAGAATTGCCCCTGTACTGTAAACTCAGTGTCATAGTGTGCTCCGTTACTATTTCTCTCAGTTTCTTAATAGATAAAATATGAATAAAAGTAAAGTAACCATAGAATGTGTGGATTTAGAGGAAGAAAAGTGTTCAGCTTTTTCCCGTTATTTATTCAAGGCAGTTCGACTGTGTGTGCTTAGACAGTCTCTGAATTCCATGTACTGGAGTTGCCAAAACTTGTGGTCCTGCTCAAGGAAGGATTGTTGTTGAACTTGCTTGTTGGTTGTGAACCTGGAGATGGAAGCTCATCCTCTACAATGAAGTAATCAGGAACCAAATCATAGGTATTAATAGGGAGCCTGGCCTCTCTAAGAAGTTCCTGAAAGTATACGGGTTGGGCATTTTTGATACAAATATTAATATAATGAGTAATTCCAAAATGTTCACTCAAGATCTGAAAGAAGAAACTGTGGAGAAAAGTATTAGACATGCTTTCAGAGCACCGGTTCTCAAACTTGGCTACTCATTGGAATCGCTTGGGAAAAATTTGAAACAACTGTAGCCTGGGTCCTTCCCTAGAGATGTTGACTATGTTGGTATGTGATGCAGCCTGGGAATTACATGTTTTAAAAGCACCTCAGGTGATTAAGTGTGCAATTAAGATGGAGAATTACTGATCTGCAGAAAAAAAGCAGTGAGCTAGGAAGAGGGTGCTAAGCACTTGAAACTTAAAAGTGTGGTCTGACGATCAGTTGCACCTGCATTCCCTAGGGGCTTGCTAGAAATATAGAATCTCAGGCCTCACCCCAGATTTATGGAATAAAGAAATGCATTTCACCCAGACCCCTGAGTAGTTCCTAATGCAAATTAAATTTTGAAAAGCATTAAGGCACTTGAGCCCCACAGGAGTACTTGGACGGCTATGTTAAGGCTGTAATTAAAGGTTTCTTCCCAGCCCTAATCCCTTCCACTTAACCAAACAGGCTTCAATCTTAGTTTAGTTTTAGTAGTATGCCTCCATAATGGAAAAAGATGGTTCTTTATTACCATGAATTAAGTTGGATTTCAAATGAAAGTCAGACTTCTCCAACAGTCTAAAAGAATTTTCTGAGTAGGCAGAGAGCTTGTTCTATTATAGTTCCCATAAGCAATGGTTTCTCAACCTGAACTACATATTGAGATATACCCAGGAGCTTTTATAATATACTGGTCCCACATAGGATATAATAAATTAGAATTTCTGCTGGTGGAGCATCAACACTGGTATGCTTTTAAAGCTCTCCAGAGCAGTTTAGTGTGCAGCTAGTTTTGAGAACCACTATGGATGAACTCTAAGTTTGACTCCTATATATCACTGCCTCATTTAATCCAAATCTAGGGCAGTAAGTCATTTTGACTTTGAAGACCGTTACCAATTACTTCAATTAATAATAGATTAACCTGCGTTATAAGATCAATTAGATATTTAGTGCATAGTAAGTTGGTATTCATTTCAGTTCATCCCTATTTTATAGGTAATAGTTTATTATCTACATTAATGAATGAAGTAATGGCAAATATGTAAAATAGTAATACCTAAATAACACTGATATTTTACTTTATAAAACACTTCATTTCACAGTTTTTTTGCTTTGTCATATCTTTAGACAAGTGTAAAAATTAGTTTGTACTCTCTAAGTGCATGCCAGCTCACTGATGAAAAGAGACATCTTCAATGTGTTTGTTGGCAAAATGAAAGCAACTGCTATTAAAAATCCCCAGAATAGATATCATCCAATACAATTTTCTGGCTGAGGGGCCAAAATTGCATTTCAGGTGAAATGATACATGCAGATTGCATCTTGATCTTCCAACATGAGTTGATAATGACTAGAAAATCAGATAACTAAATGGAGTGGTTGAGCATATGACTTAGCTGAAGGAAAAACAAGCATGTTTCTTGAGCAAGATGAACAGGCTTAACTAAATCAGTGCCAACAACTTTTTAAAAAAATTCCACGAGCTATTAAAAACTGAATAATATGCAGTTAAAACCTCTTCTCAAATAATTTCTATTTCAATATTAAAAGTTAAAGCTTAAAGCACAGAATACCATTGCAAGTTGAATTTCTTTATTCCCAGGTAAGTCACCTATTTAGCTCCTTATGTTTTCTACTTACATTTCTATTTCAATATTAAAAGTTAAAGCTTAAAGCACAGAATACCATTGCAAGTTGAATTTGTTTATTCCCAGATAAGTCACCTATTTAGCTCCTTATGTTTTCTACTTATTAATAAATACTTTAAACAACACTTGTAAAGACTATTTTGTAAGACATTATTAATATATTGTTGATAACGAGATTTTCAAGTACAAAAATAAATATGAATGTTATCAAAATGACACAGCCTTTGAGATTCCTGTGCTCCCTGATGGGAAAGACTCCATCCAGATCACTAAAACATTTCTTTAAACCTGACCTCTATGATCAGGACAGGCCTTTGAATACTGATGATTTAAGTGCTTAATTTATGTTATTAGGTGATATCAGCATAAAATTTGAGAAACCTCAGGTTACAAATGATCTTTAAAAAAAAACTTTCCTCTTTTCCATTAGGCTTACAGTCATTCTTAGACCAAAGCTTTAAGTTAAATGAAAATCTTTAATGGCCTATGAAGAAAATCTGTAATAATAAATTGTATCTAAATATAAACCATTATATATTTATGATTAAATGCTTAATAAATGATGAACCATTTAACTGAGAACAATCCCATTATGTGCACATTATAAACTTTTCTTGTAAATTCTGTTACTGAAATATCACCATTTTATCATTTGCAAATCTTAGAAGCAAATCACATAGGAAAATAACAATGATATTGAACAAATTCGGGGGAGTGTAACGTTCGGTTTTAATAGGTAACTGTTTTTATGTATTGGGTGATTATAGTTTGTTTTGTTCTTTTACAGTTTTTAGAGTAGTGGAACTGTCTCTGCTTCCATTTACTTTAAATGTGATGTAAAGAGTGTATAATCAAACATTTAAGAGACAAAATTATAAATCATGTGGAGAATAGAGAAAATTGCTCAGGGTAGATACTGATTCTAGATTTTATAGTAACTACTGGTATGATCTCAGGTTAAGTACTTCATTGTTGTTGGCAGATGCCTCATATGTAAAATGCACAGATTTGGCTAGATGCACTCTTAGGTTGTTATTGATTCTTAAAATACTCTGTGATTTAAATTCTGGTTTAGTCATAATGTAGTACAAATAATAAACAGGATAACAGATTTCAATTTTGAGTTTTGATTTCGACAATACTTACTGTTAGTGGTGGTGGTCCTGGAGGTCCCATATCTCCCTAAAATAGATTAAAGAAAACTTGTAATTACCTATAGTTCTTTTTTGCACAATAATTTATAAATTTCTGAGTGGATAGAAGCAATATCTATAAATAAATCTTAAAGGACAGAAAAAATAGAATTTCATCTTGATAAGTCTCTGCACAATGAGAAATTTATCACGTGCCCTTTAGCTCTCATGATGTAAAAATCACTTTGTGCACCTCCATGCTTTCTGCAACAGCAGAACTTGTTTTGAAAAGTTAAAATAATCTAATTTTCTATTCTTTTGTCTACTAATCCAAAATTAGAAAGAATATTTTTTCAAATACGGCTACTTGCCAATGGCACAGCTGGGAAGTGTCACAGTGACAGAAAATTTTTCTGACAAAGTAAGTACAAGGATCAGCAGAAATAAGAAGTGGATCTCCCCAGTTCATGCCTCCCAGCTGCAAGAAGCAGTCCCATGGCCTCTTCTAAAGCTCTGCTGAACTGGCATTGCACTTGCCACCAAATGTAAGGGACTTTGCCTATATTTAGGTATTCTTAAATACTAACAATACTTTGCTGGCCTATGAGAATACAAATTTCCAGGTGGATATATTGACAAGCTATTCAAAATCTTTATTAAAATCATTTATCTAAAAGTTCAGCTCTATGCTTTATTGTCTCAGGAACTCTTTATTTCATAAGAACTCAAAGTCATTAAGACCAAGCATCCCAGCTATGGTTCTTGTTTAGGAGAACACTATAAAGACCATATACTGGGTAGCATGGAGCACTAGAATGTTGTATTCTCACATTGAGAGTATCTCTAGGACTTTTTCTTTTCTCAGCAAATATAGCCATCTTTAGCCATAAAGTTAAGATTTAGCATTGTATAATCATTATATTTTGGAACAATTGAATTAAAATAACTGATAGTTTTTAAGGAACATTGGCGTAGAAAAGTCACTGAGGACCAATTTGCAAGATCACCATCAACGTAGAGATAAATACAAAGATAGACAAAAGGATTTCTAAATGTGCTGAGAATGGAGAGCAAAACAGTGCAAAATACACACCTGTACAATTTTCATCAAATTGGGATCACCTAATGACCTTATTCAAAACAACTTGCTTTTACTATTTCTTAATTCTCTTCAAGATTACTGCCTATATGCCATTATGAAATAGCATATGAGAAAAAGTGGCAGGAAATGGAGCATTTAGACTAAGACTGAGATACAAATTTAGCCTCCTTTGCCCTCAAAGCCACTGCTTCACCATTACAGTAGCAGTTCAGTGTTATTGGAAAACTTCCCCAATACAGCACACATTTGCTAATTTGGTGACTGAATACCTGACATTGTTAAGCAAGGGTGAGAAAAGGGAAATCTTATAAACATGAGTTAATTTCAACTAGCAGTTGTGTATTTAGTCTCTTCAAACTAATTAAATGAACCTAAAGGCTTTTCTTGTTCAGATGTTTTTAACACAACTGCCTTTGGTTAATTTTAGAACGCTTCTGGGAGGTAAACAGTATCAACAAGAAATTACTGCATAGGTTCTCAGGGTTTTCTTAGGAAATGGTTGGCACTCTGCTGGATAAATACGATACCTTTTCTCCTTTTGGGCCAGGTGGACCACGAGGACCCAAGTCACCTTTCAAACCCTGTACAAAGAATATAACCAATGTGATTTCTACATAGTTCTCAGAAAGCTTCAATCTCTAACAAGTCATTAGTAGCAAAACAAATCATAATTTACCGAACTCCCAAATCCCATTCTTGCCTTTGTAGTCTAGAGAGAAACAGAGACAACTGGCACTAAATGATAAGCAACATCTGCGCTGTGGTGGGTACAGATACATTAAATCAGCGCAAATCCTCAATACTGCATATTTGTGCAACTTTGCTTCCTGCTAAAATTACATTAATTCACCATCTGGGAGAACATCATTTAGATCTATATGAGCTTTTAAGTATCCACTTTGGATTAAATTTGTGGATGTTGTAAATACCTTTGATTTAGCATTGATTTGGCCTTTATAGAGCTTGCCAAAAAAATTCAAGAGTTAAATCAAAAACATTTTTACATCTCTATCAAGAAATCTAATTGTGAGGGGAAAAGAGATGAAGGATTCTTTCTTTTTCTATCACTCACAAAGCTGGAGCTACACTGTAATATCTTTCCTGTTTTAAAGTATGTTTTAGTTCTCTAATTCCTATCTTTTTAACCTGAATTTATAAAGATAGCAAATGAAACTATATAAAACATAGACAGAATATCAGATACATATTTTCATGAATCCTCTGGACTCCTGGGTTTTGTAAATGGGTATTTATTTGGTCTGTCTCAGAAATGACAGCTTTCAGAAATACCACAATAGATTTTACTGGAGGAGATCAGTTCTACAACTGAATGGATTCACAGTGCGAACGAAAAGAAAGTTAGAGATATCCTAACTGTGTGGTAAATAGATACCACAATAGATTTTACTGGAGGAGATCAGTTCTACAACTGAATGGATTCACAGTGCGAATGAAAAGAAAGTTAGAGATATCCTAACTGTGTGGTAAATAGAAAAAAAATCTTCCTTTGTCCCTTAATTTAACACATTGGATGAGGGAAGAACAATAATGGAGAAAAGAAATATCCTGAAGCCACTCAATGCCCAGTAAATCTTGGCGTCTTACTGTTCCTAGCTGAGAGCTCCAGCTATTATTACTCTGACATTTTGTAGTGAGTAAGTAATGCCAAATGCCATCACCTGTAGCTTCTCCATATAGTTGTCCATGACAAATGGAAAGAAAGAAAAGAAAATTGAATACTTAAAATAATCTTTTTGCAGAGAGTATGTGAAAACTGTAATCTTACACTTCAAAAAAATTTTTTTTAATGGATGAAAATAACATCTAATTTACTAAGAAACTTTGTAGTTGCGTAAATGTCTTTGTGGATAAAACTCATAGCAATGTTTCTTTCCATCATTAACTTGAAATATTTATGGAAAAAGAATAAGTAAAAAAATAAATAATATCTGAGATATGGTATTCTCTTATTATTTGAAATATCCATCCCTTTCCTAATCTAACACCACATACTGTATTTGTACATGCTTCCAGAGTATAACTTGGCAACAGCATATTCTAAAAACTCGGGGGAAGAAAACTACCATTTCTGTGAACAGATTTTATTGTGAATTCATTCACTCATTTATCCATTTATTCAGTATATACCTCATGTGCATCCCTCTTGCAGGCCTTTAAACCTGCACTGCCCAACACAATAGCCATGAACCACATGTAGCTTTTGAAGCCTTGAAATGTGACTACTTTGAATTGAAATTTGCTGTGAGGGTAAAATACCATCGGGTTTCTGATATTTGGTATAAGAAAAGAATGTAAACTATCTCATTAATTATTTTTATGTTGATTATGTGTTGAAATGATATTTGGATATATTGGATTAAATAAAATATATTATTAAAAGTAGTTTAACCTGTTTATTTCTACTTAATGTAGCTATTAGAAAATGTTATGTATTTACATTTATCTTGAATTTATGTCTTTCATTATATTTCTATTGGATAGTACTGCTTTAGAGATACAAAAAAGGACAAGAAGTTGAGACACTCCCTGTGACTGAACGTTAGGCTCCTCTGAGCTCTTTCTCAACTAGGTCTGGACCTTGGCCCTCATCCTGTCTTTGGCCTTCCCAGCCCAGTTATAGCAAGATTCTTGCTAAGTCAGTTTAGAGAGCATCTTCCATCCTTGATATTTGTTTGTCATCCTCTACCTTTGTGGAGATCAAGTTCTGCATCCCCTGCCTTTGATGTCTAAGTCCTTGGCCTGTCTTTAACAACAGTCCTTTAGCAAGAATCATCCTACTCTTGATATCTCTTCTTAGTAATTTTCCATCCACTGACCACGTTCACCCTGCTCATTGGCTATAAATCCCTACTTGTCCTTATTGTATTTGGAGTTGAGCCCAATCTCTCCTCCTTATTGCAATTCCCCTGTTGCAATAGTCTTGAATAAAAAGGCTTTCTTACTATTTTTGTAAAACAAGTGTCAGAATGATTCTTTCTTTATTATGAGACTCCCGTCATAAGAGGAAAGTAACTGACAATAAACAGGTCAATAGTCTGCACATGATGCGTGAAGGGGAGAGAGCTACTACTTCAGGTAAAGTGCAGTGGTGACCTCTGCTGTTGCAGAAAGATCCAGCCATGCAAGGATCCTGGGGGAAAGTGTGGGGGTAAAGGAAGCAGCAAGCAAAAAAGTTTCCAAGGTGGAAGGAGTGTTATGAGCACGCAGGTAGGGAATAGAGGATAAAGTCAAGATTAGCCTGGGGTCATAGCCTGGGGTCACGGCACAGGTCATGTCATATAGAGAATTCCAGGACATGGCAAGAAAGACGAGTTTTGTTCTAAGTGCAATGGGAAGCCACTTAAGTGTTTTAAGGAGGAAAATGACATCATGTGACTATGTTTTGCTTTGTTTTTTAAAAATAAACCACTTCGGCCATGATGCGGGACATAGAATGTAGGCAGTAAGGATGGAAACAGAAAAGGGGCTATGACAGGCAAGAGAGCAGGATGGCTGGAACAGGGTAGTGACAGTGGAGATGGAGAGAAGTGGTCAGAGTTGGCACATACTGGGAGGCAGGACTGGCAGATGTGCCAGAAGTAAAGGCAGAGAAAAGGAGGTATCAAGGCTGATTTGTACTTAAGTAACAGACTGGGAGGTTTTTTCCCATTTACCAAGCTAAGAAGTTTATTAAAAAGAGGTTTTATCTCTCTTGCACATGTAAAACTATGCAGAGAAAAGACAAACATTAAAAAAAGAAATGGCTGCTAAAGACCCTGAGTATACAGTATTCAAGAAACATTATTGAACATCTATAAGTATGTAAGACTAAGCTATGTACTCCTTTTAAACATGTAAATGTGAAACATAATTTTGAAAGTGGAAGACAACATTAAGCACAACATTCAAGAAAATTGTTAACTCTGGGGTGGGGGATGGGACAGGGTAAACCACAGAGACAGATTCTCAGGGGAGAATGATGTCTCGTTCTCACCTTGAGTTCTGGGCACATTGGTGTTCCAGTTATAACCATGATTCATAACCATCATCTATGTTACATATATTATTTTATAGGTATAAAACAGTACATTGAAAAATTTTAAAGATTCCTGCCTGACAAATTAACCCTGATGGTAACTTGTAGGGAAGGGACTTATTGGCAATTGTGCCACTTAACTACTCCTGGTTCAATCAACTATGGGCAGGAAGGAGGTGAGGGGATAATGCAACCTATTACAGCTGATGTGAATATTGAGCTCCACCATAGCAAGTTTGAAGGGAGCAGTTCTCAGGGGTGCCTTATTCTACTGCAGGTGTTCAAGACTCCAGAGATTTGGATTTCAGGAGAGGCCATGAAATGGCCTTTCATGAATAATCTTGGATGAGTTATTTAAGCTTCACCGTTAAGTTAGGTATAAGTAATAGTTATCTTGAAGGGTTGTTCTGAAAATCATATGTTGTAAAAACATTTAGCACATGGTAGGCACTTAATAAATGCTGCCTTACTTTTCAGGTTCAAATTTAAGGGATAAGTAACAGTTCATTCTGTTCAGTTTTATACCAGTTTGATGGATACGTAACAACTGTTTGAGCTCACATAGGATAAAATGCAGTTGAGAAGTACTGCATTCGTCAAGCTTCTACTTTTATGGCTATCAAAGTGGGCCCATGTCACTCATCTCCTGTGACAAAGTACAATGTTGTTAAGGCCAGAGCATCGTAATAGGCTCTGAGACACAGATCAGTAATGCTTTTCTCAAGTGCCATTTTCCTTCTCATGTCACAGTGGTGCTGCTGTCAATGGTGATTGAGTGCTGGGGAGAAAAGACACCATAAAGCATAAAGAATCAAATGGAAGACTCTAAATTCAGTATTGAATAAATGGGCATCCATTATTAAGGTTCTCAATAAAATTCATGTATATAAAGATTCTCAAAAGCACAGTAGTTGACTCTGCATGCAATGTGGGGATAGAAACTCTTATCTAAAGGCTAGATGAAAGCTGGAAACAGTATTACAACCAGAGTTATAGAAGCAGGTAGACTGTGAAACTAATTTTTATTGGAAGACCTGCTACTCATGTGACATAGCATATTTAAAATCAGAAGATGATACAAAATAATGTTATTTGTTAAAATTTTTAATCCATTAATTAATTCTTTGCCTCAGCTTCAACTGACTGCCTCTTTTCCCCTAGCAATGGCAACAGCTGTTGCCAGCTGATAGCTTTGTTTTGTGCTTTCAGTATTTTTGTGTTCAGTAATACAGATTACTTTCGTATAAGGAGATTAACATGATTATTTTAGAAACATCGAATGCTGTAATTCTGATAAGGGATGTTTGAAAGACCATAATAAAGATGCAGAAGAAGAGACTAAATTCAATGATTGAAATCAACTTTTCTAAGATTATATAACTCCACAAAAACAAATAAATAAAAGACTTATCTATTAGAGCTAAATGTGTTTTATTTAACCCAGTTTTTATAATAGTGAATGTTTATACAGCTCTTATCATATGCTAGACACTGTCCTAAATACTTTATGCATGATAACACCTTTAATCTTCACAAAAAACCTAT